TCTATCTATCTATCTATCTATCTATCTATCTATCTATCTATCATCTCTTATCCATCCATATCTATTTATCCATCCATCTATCTTCTATCTATCTATCAATCCATCTATGGTATTTATCTACGGTATCTATCCATATCTCCATCTACTGTTCCTACTTACCTAACTACCTATCGCTCACTCTATCTTTCTCTCTCTCTTTCTCTCCATCCATCCATCTATCCATCCACCTACCTACCTATCTACCTCTCTCTCTCTCTTTCTCTCTCTCTCCATCCATCCACCTATCCATCCATCCATGGTATCTATCCATCTCTCTCCCTCTCCCTTTGTGTGTGTGCGTATGTGTGTGTATGTGTCTGCCTGCCTGCCTGCCTGCCGATCGATCGATCGATCCATCGATCTACTGTCTGTCTATCTATCTATTTACCTACCTATCATCTGGAAATGAACTTCCCGCACCTGCCCGAGCCCCCTTTTAAAGATCCGAACCACTTAGAAGGTGGAAGAAGCGCACCAGAGTTGAGGTCCCGCCGTTTTTCTTCAACTTGCTCGGGAGAGCCAGGCGGTTCCCCGACCTTCTTCTCCGTCCCCCCGAGCCAGTTTTTAGGATCGCGCTCGCTCTGCGCCGCGCTCTTCTCTTCGCCCAAAGCAACCGGCGCCGTTGCGCAACGTCGGCGACTCGTTCGCTTATTCGCCACAGGATCTGAGATCCAAAGGGATCTTGCTTCGTTTCCAGAAGATCCTCCGGCCGATCTGGTTTTCGTGGGGAGGCGTGGAAGTGGGAAGCAGGGCGGTGGTAGGGGTTTGCGCTCCCCCCCACCGCTGTGTTTTAAAGCTGCTCCGGTGAAACCCCCCCCCCCGAGAATGGGTGGGGGGGATCCGATTTGAATTCCTGCGGCTGTGTGTCGGTCGCCGCGGTTGCAGCTGAGGTGCGGAGGACTAGCGCCTTAGGGAGGCCGCGAGAAAAGAAACGGACGTTCTGTTGGCTCATTCCGATTTATTCTGGAGTAAAGCGTCTTAGAAGCCCTCGAAGGAAAGGGAGGTGGCCCAAAGAAGTTGGTGTTCTTGTGGGGAGGAAGGGGGGCAAAGCAGAAATCTTTTTGGGACAGGCTCTGGATTTCCATGGGGATCCAGAAAGGAGAGGAGAGGGGGCTTCCAATTGTGTCCCCCCGCCCCCAGAAACTGGGACTTTCCTTACCTACCTTTAAACTGTCAGAATTACTCCTATTAATCTGCATTGGATATAATTCTGGATCAGGCTCCCCAAACTTGGCAACTTTGCTGGCTGGAGACTTCTGGGAGTTGAAGTCCCCAAGTCTTCAAGTTGCCAAGTTTGGAGACCTCTGTGAATCTGGATCGAATTTTAACATTTTCTTTAAGAGCAAGGAGAAGTTTAGGGGTCTTCCTCACCAAGTAAAGCTTGAAAGATTGAGGTTTCGGGCTCAAGGAATTCCTTGATGAGCTTCGGTGGGGTTTGGGCCTAGGGTTTGGGGGGGGCAGGAGAGTTGGGGGGGGGGGGGCTAGTCGGAAACAAACCAGAGAAAGAGAAACCTGAAAGACAGAACTCTAGACATGGCCTGGAGCACAGGAAAAGTCTCCTAAACTCCCCTCCAATACAGACTTGCAACCACTCAATTAGCAAGCATTCAGAATTGCAGCAGCACTGAAAAATGTGACTTACCACACACTTATGACTGAGACAGGCGCTCGTGAAACGTATATACGACAGGTCCAAGTGGCCATCATTTATGACCTTCCCAGCTGGATTCTACAAGCCAGATCAAGAGGGGAAGGCCGGATTCCTTTAACAACCTCGGGATTCATTTAACAACGGATGCAATTTGCTTAACAACCATTGGCAACAAGATAATCCCATTTGGGCACTGAATGACCACTTTGGTTGGCAATTCTCGTTCCTTGCTCCATAATTCCTCTCCCAGGACCTGGGACTGATCATAAATATATAAATTTTAAAAAGCCAATTGTGTATCATAAAATCATACCAAGCAATGTGAAGTTTCTCTGTCTAGGCCCAAAGCAACACATTATTTGAGCCTGAACCCTCGATTTGTAAAGTTTTACTCCTGAAGAAATGCCCTAAAGTTCTCCCTTACCTGGGCCAGCAGTTTTAAAACAAAGTTTTTTTTTTCTTTTGCTGTTTCATTCATATTTTTGTCTGCTAAAAAAATCTGTCCAGAGAGCAATTCCCTCTCTCCAAATTGGCTTTGTCTCTCTCTCTCAGATTTTGTTCTGTCTCTTCTACCACCAGAGCAAAAACCCATTTTATGCATGTATTCCATTTCTACATCTCCACCAAGCGGCATCCGATCATCCTTGTGTCTAACTAGCAACATTTAAAAAAAAAAAAATTAAAGTTCAGCTTCGGGTTAAATTTGGGGGGCGCTGATCCTGAAAGAGATTGTTTGTTCCTCAGGACTTTTTTTTTTTTTTTTAAAAAATATTTTTTTGCTGACGCTTTGCTTCTCTATCCTGTTATTGATTGATTTGTTGTGGGATTTGCAGTATTCCTGCGAAGGTATTTTATCCTAACCTCTCCCTCTTTTTCTTCTTTCTCCAAAATTGGGTTGTTGTTTTTTTCTTCTTCTTAGTTTACTGGAGGAGGAAGGATGCCATGGGATTTTTCTGGCGTGAAAACAAAACAATCAGCAGATTTTTTTTAAATAAAAGAGTGTGATAGTTTCACACAGGGATGCTTTTAAAAGAGTTTCCCTCCTCTTTTCCTAGCTTTTAACCTGTTTTCTCCTCTCCCTCCCTTCTCTTACAGACCATCCTCAATTCCATGCACAAGTACCAGCCTAGGTTCCACATAGTCCGAGCGAATGACATCCTCAAGTTACCATACAGCACTTTCCGAACATATGTCTTCCCCGAAACCGACTTCATCGCGGTGACAGCTTACCAAAATGACAAGGTAAGGATTTAAGGATTAAGGGTTGGATGCGGGACTCTGTTCCTTAATTTCCTGGTTAATTCCTCCCTCCCACTTTCAACTTTTACTTCCAAAGGTGTAAATTTGAAAACTGAACCAGCTGAAATAGTAAAAGATTTCCTATGAGTAATTCAAGATAGACCGCCATGATCCTCGGAGGTTCAATCTAGCTTTAAACTTCCTGGGTTTGTTTGTTTCTTCTTTTTCTTTTTCTTTTTCTTTTTTTTCTTTTTCTTTTTCTTTTTCTTTTTCTTCTTTTCTTTTTCTTTTTCTTTTTCTCTTTCTTTTTCTCTCTCTTTCTCTCTTTCTCTCTCTCTCTCTCTCTCTCTCTTTTTTCCAGGAATTTGAGACCCCATCAAAGCGGAGTGTAAGGCTAGTATTAGGGAAAGAGAAATCTAATCTCTGCTCTACAATTTTTGGCTGGAGGCTGAGCTTCTGGTCTTAACTATCTATTGGGCAGGGCTGCTTTTATATATTTATTTATTTATTGAAGTTATGTCCTGCCTTTATTACCTTATAGGTAACTCAAGCCAACGAACATATCCAATATTCCTTCCTCCTCCTATTTTCCCCATAACAATAACCCTGTAAGGTGGATTGGGCTGAAAGAAAGCCCAAAGTCACCAAAACTTTCATGCCTAAGGTAAAACTAGAACTCATCATCTCCTGGTCACCCGTTCAAGGTCACCTGGTGACCTTGTCTCCTGGTGATTGGCCCCAAATCACCCAGTCAGCTTTTCAGGTCTAAGGTGGGACTAGAACTCTCAGACACCTCGTGGTTGGCCCAGACTCACCCTGCCAGTTTTCGGGCCTTGGGCAGGACTCGAATTCACACCTCCTGGTTTCCAGGCCAGCAATTTAACCACTACACCAAATGGACTCTTAATATGTCTGTATCAATATCAGAAGGGAATATCTCATCCGTGAAACCCTTTTTATACATTAAAAAAAAAAAAGTTCAAACTATCTCTCCCTTTATCCTGCTGATTTTTTTTTTAATCCTGTAGGAATACCTTATATTTTAAGAGGTGTTTCTGAATCTTTTATGGATTCGGACCTTAATTGAACTTTAAAAACAAACTGAAAGCTTCTCCCCTGGCCCCAATTATCCTTCCTTCCTTCCTTCCTTCCTTTCCTTTCCTTTCCTTTCCTTTCCTTTCCTTTCCTTTCCTTTCCTTTCCTTTCCTTTCTTCCTTCTTTCCTTTCTTTCCTTTCTTCCTTCCTTCCTTCCTTCCTTTCTTTCCTTCCTTCTTTCTTTCCTTCCTTCC